AGCAGGGGAAATCAGAGAGTACCCGAGGAGCTATCAAATGCTAGGAGCTATAGATGATTGCGCACCACTACCGTCGCAGTCATCCATCGCAATGGCAATGGCTGATGACCGACTAGAAGTCTAGTAGCCATAGCGGCCACCGCCTTTGCAACGAAGAAAACAACGATAGTGCCAGGCAGTCAGCAGGCGTTGGGAAAAAGAAGGAACATCAAAATGCCCAGAGGGCGGAGAGTGCGTTTATATGGATGGTACCGTCCTCGCTAAGACGTAAAACTGGCCACGTGATTCGGCACTGCGAAACCATCATTGGAACACTACACCAACGACAAACAAGTGTACAACACGACATATTCTCAACTAACACATCAGTCATCAGCAACAACCAAGATTACTAAGTACCACGTGCACCACCCAAGCAAGCGCCTGCCAATGATTACAAACCGAGAACCAACCAGTACCGATCAGATGCATAGTCAGCAGGATTACGTGTTTGAGGTGTACTACGAGGAAGATGAAGCAATTGCGGATATAGACTGGGGAAGCAACAATAAAGAAGATCAGAGACTATCAGAAGCTCACGTATTTTCGGGACGGTATAAGCCGGTAGCTCAGCAAGTGAAGCCAATCCCAGGAGTCTTTCCAGAAGGAGCACGAGTAGTTCGGCAGATACCGGAGGATCCATTGCTCACGCTACCGTATCTATCTCCGCACCCGCCAGAGTTTGTGCCAACTGGAAAGTTAACGAAAGAGCGATTGGAGGCAATGAAGATAAATGAAGGAGGATTTCTCTGGCCGGAAGAGGAGAGACTATTCCAGCACATATTCCGCCTGAACGAAGGTGTACTCGCATTTGAGGAGTCAGACAGAGGAACATTCCACGAGGATTACTTCTCGCCATACATTATACCAACAGTTCCGCATGTGCCATGGGTGGAGAAGAACATCCCAATTCCACCAGGTATCAGAGATGAAGTAATCAAGCTCCTGCGGGAAAAGCTAGAAGCCGGAGTATATGAGCGATGTCAATCATCATACCGCTCAAGATGGTTTTGTGTCCTCAAGAAGAACGGAAAGCTACGGATCGTGCACGACCTACAGAAATTGAATGCAGTTACCATTCGGGAGGCAGGGCTTCCTCCGATACTAGACGACTTTGTAGAACCTTTTGCAGGAAGACAATGTTATACAGTGTTAGATCTGTTTTGGGCATTTGATGGACGTAGACTTCACCCGATCAGTCGGGATATGACAGCATTCCACTCGCCACTAGGACTGTTGCGACTTACATCAATGCCAATGGGTTTCACAAATTCGCCAGCTGAGTTTCAGGCATGCATGACATTTATATTGCAAGATGAGATCCCACATGTAGCTAACGTGTTCATCGATGACTTACCAATCAGAGGACCGCAGACATGCTACCCAGATGCGGAAGGAAATCCTGAAGTGTTGAAGGAGAATCCAGGCATTAGACGGTTCATATGGGAGCATGCACAGGATGTGCACCGGATACTACATCGAGTCGGACATGCAGGAATCAAGATTTCAGGACTAAAAGCACAAGTCTGTAGACCAAATGTGGTCATAGTCGGACAAAAGTGCACCCCCGAAGGAAGAGTACCAGAAGACGACAAGGTGGACAAGGTCAGAAACTGGCCAGTGCCAAAGACAGTAAAGGAAGTGCGAGGATTTCTAGGCCTCTGCGGTACAGTGCGGGTCTGGATCAAAGACTTTTCAGAGAAAGTAAAGCCACTACGTGAGCTCACCGGACACAAAGTAGAGTTTGTGTGGGATGCACGGAGACAGGCAGCATTTGATGAGATGAAGGATCTAATCTCATCTGCACCCGCACTTCGTCCAATAGACTACTCGTCTTCAAAACCGGTGATATTAGCTGTGGACTCAAGCAAGTATGCAGTAGGCTACATTCTGTCACAGCTTGATGAGAACAACAAACGAAGACCAGCACGATATGGTTCCATTCCAATGAACAAGACAGAAGCCAACTATAGTCAGGCCAAGTTGGAACTGTATGGTCTGTACCGAGCATTAAAGAAGTGTAGACTATATTTGGTGGGCGTGAAGGAACTCCACATAGAGGTTGATGCCAAGTACATTAAAGGCATGCTAGCTGCACCAGACCTCCAGCCGAATGCAGTTATCAACCGGTGGATTGCTGAAATACTTACGTATCCGCATAAGTTAATACATGTCCCCGCAACGAAGCATAAAGGACCTGATGCCTTGTCACGAAGACCATTGGCCGAAGGAGAGGAGATAATCCCTGATGAGGATAATAAATGGGAGGAAGGTATTGCTATGTACATGGAAAGATCAGATGAGGCCTCTGTGCTGCTCACAGCAACCACCGCTCAAGACGATACACTGAGGACCATTCATAAATTTCTGACCACATCAGTACTACCAGAGTTCACGTCAACAGCCGCCAGATACAAGTTCATGAAGAAAGTCCAGCGGTACTTCGTACAAGACAGTCACATGTACAGGCAATATCCGAACAGAATTCCGGTACGGGTACTACTAGAAGAAAGCGCAAGACGGAAAGTTCTTGAAGAAGCACATGAGCAACTAGGGCATAGAGGGGAGAAGGCTACCTTTGAGACCATTAGACAGAGATTCTTCTGGCCATTTTACCACAGCGATGTTCGACATCATGTACGATCATGTCATGAGTGCCAAGTCAGAAGTGTCAAGAAATCAGAGGTACCCATCACAATTTCAACTCCAGCAGGACTATTTGTCAAAGTCTATATGGATGTAATGCATATGCCACTCGCACAAGGATACACCTGCATAGTTGCATGTCGAGATGACCTATCAGGTGTGACTGAAGCGAAGGCTCTCCGATCAGCATCATCACAAGAGATAGCCCGCTTCTTTTGGGAACAGATACTCTGCAGATATGGAGCAGTAGAACATGTTGTGACAGATAACGGATCAGAAACTAAAGGAGCATTCGAGATATTGGTGGATAGATACAGCATACACCATATCCGCATCTCGCCGTATAATTCTAAGGCAAACGGAGTTGTAGAACGCGGTCACTTTATCATGAGAGAAGCATTGGTCAAGGCATGTGAAGGTCAGATCAACCGATGGCCATCTCTATTACCACATGTAATATTCGCAGACCGAACTACAATTAGACGGTCAACAGGATTCAGCCCATACTATTTACTACATGGTGTACATCCAGTCTTACCAATGGACCTGCGGGAAGCAACCTTTATGGTACAAGGCTTTAGGCAAAACATGTCACATGCTGATCTCCTAGCTCTGCGAATCCGTCAGCTCGAACGCAAG